GGGCCAAGGTGGAGGAGGGCACTCCAGGGAGAGTGCCCAGCATGGGCAGAGACCTAGATGCCAGACCCATGTCACGGCCCCTCCCTGATGGCAATCTGAGGAAAACTAGAGCCTGCGTGGGTGAGGCCTTTGCCAGGCCCTGTGTGCCACAAAGGTCCCAGGAGTAGGAGGCAGGTGGTCCTCTGGTGGCAGGGATTAGGGAGGTCCCTAGGGTAGCTCTCCGTAGTGTCCTGAAACCTCTCACTGTGGCCCTATCCCACCCTGCAGACACTGCCTGTGAGAACTGGAGGGAACAGCGGTTGGGTCGCTGCACCTCCTGGCCCAGCCCCATCTCCAGGAGTGGCACGAGACAGTTCCCGTGCGCCCTGTTAGCACTCATTGCCCCCCAAATGGCTGACCGAAGGCTTCAAGCCCTGGGGTGCTGGGCTTTGAGGCTCAGGGTTCATGGGGAATAGGGAGGACCAACAGATTGCCTCTTACCTTGAGAGGGGAAGGGGTGGGCTTTGCTTTCCTACCTGTAAAGTGGGGCAATCATAGCAAAAACCCCCCCCCCCCAGGATTTGAGTACCCCGTCTGTGTGCCCAGGCACACCAAGTTGAGTCAGCTGGCCACTAGGAAGGTGTCCGTGGCCCCAAAGCCCCTGTGTCCTCTCCACATGGCCTAGGTCACTCTCCCCACACTTCATTATTCCCCCAAGCTGCCACGGCCTCTCCTTGCCTGCAGGCTTGGTGCCTTCTCCGAACCACCTGCACTATTCTTCAACACGTGTAAACATACATATTAAGCAGCTCCCTCTGTTCTGAGCAGTTCTTTGTGAACAAAGGCCTGCCTCGTGGAGCTGACAGGCTCCGTGGAGGAATGGCCATGCGAAACTGTTAAGCACCTCCCGAATCCCAGGGCTGCAGGTGGCTGTATAGACGGGCCTGTTCAGTGGGCTGCAGATACCGCCCACTCACCGCCTTGCCTGAGACAAGTGATTACCATGTTCTCCGCCCCACAAAGAACTCCTCCTCTTCCATCATGCTGAGTCTGGGAGACCAGTATCCCTCCCCTCCTCCCAGTGGACAGCAGGTGGAGGATCTGAGGCTGGGCAAAGAGGAGCCAGGTCTCGATCTCCAATATTCCACCCTCCAGCTCTCTCTCTAGAACCCCTCAAACGTGTTCACCGCTCATTCCTGCTGCCACATCCCCAGCCCCATCCTCATACCTTTCCCTGTGGCTCTTCCCCCACACTGCCTTCTAGCTACGCTGACCTCTTTTGGGTCCCTACACTATGCCTGACTCCGTCCTGCCTGAGAACATTTCCTCCATCCCTCTTCTGCCTCACCAGCTTCTGCCTATTCTTTAAGGTCACCCCCACGAAGGTCAGTTATTGTAAGTAAATACTCCCAGGTCTCCCCCACTATATAGGAAGCCCTGGGTGGTGCAGTCCAGTCCTGTTCACGGCTATCTCTAGCACCTTGCACAGAGGAGGAGACAGTCCCTCAGTTTTGGTTGCATGAATGAGTCTCGGTTTTACTGATGAATAAATTGAGGCACAAAGAAGTGAGGGACTGGCCTGGGAACCCAGGTCTGAGGGGCTCTGGCTCCAGCGTGTATTCCCCCATGTGGAGGGTAAGCCTGCTAAGCCAGGATCTGGAGCTCTCTCTGGAAGATCTGGGGACAGCCTCTCCCTTGGCTGCCTAGGCTTGGGCCCCAGCAACTGGAGCAGCTTCAGTTTGCAGCCTGGGGAGGTGGGTTGGAGCCCCTGGAGTGGGGCTCTTGGGGCTCTGTCCTTGCCCTCATTTGGGGCCTGTTTCCCCTAACCTCTCTTGCAGAAATCCAATTGGTAGTCTGTGAGGAGTTTGAGTCCCTTGAAAGAAGGCTGTGCTGCCTTCTAACTGGGGCCCCTGGTCTCTGGCTGCCTTGAGTTGTTATTGGTCATGTGGTAAACAATGATGAGGGAGACAAGGGGAAGTCACAGTGCCTAGACAGACCCTGATCTAGATCTTGTCCCTACTACTTATTCATGTATGATTTCGGGACAGCCTTTCACTTTTACACATCCCAGTTGTCCCAGCTGAGAATTGCAAGTAATGAAACCAGCCCCCTAGGCTGGTAGCATAGTGGCTAAGGCACTTGACTGCTCACCAGATGGCTGGCGGTTCAAACCCATCAGCCACTCCTCGGAAGGAAGGTTGGGCAATCCTACTTCCGTAGTGATACTGCCTCGGAAACCCAAGGAGGGGTCGCTATGAGTCAGGGCTGACTCAACGGCACATAACAACAACAACAACAGGCTTGGAAAGAGAGCCTGGTGAACTCATACTTGTCTGTTACCTGCTCTTACATTGGTCCGGGTGCCAGAGGGGCAGCAACTGGGGCTGCCATGCCCCCTCATTGTCTGCGACATCACCTGGCACACAGTAGCAGATCAGTAAGTACAGGTTGAGTTTGAAGAATCAGGTTGACCTTATCAGACTCAATTTCCAAACGGAGAAGCAGAGACTTAGAGCTCCAGGTCCCACAAGTAGATTCACACTGGCCCAGGGTACACCTCCGAACCCAAACCTGTATCTGCAGCCCCAGTGCCTGGCAAGGAGGCAGCTCAGAAGGGACTTGCCAATGAGAGTAAGGGAACAGCTGTTCCTGCCCCAGAGACTTTGCACACACTACCTCCTTTCTCCTTCCTCACCTGGCTCACGCTGAGCTGTCCTGAGTGTCTGCTCAGGCCTCTTCCTCAGGAGGCCTTCTCAAGTCCACCCTGCCTGGGCCAGACCACTGCTCCCTGGTCATTTTGTGGAGGTCACTTGCAAAGCCACACTTCCTTTAGAGCGCTTTATGATGGCCCAGACTGCGGGCTGTTCTTCCCAAGGATTGCAGTGGAGAAGTCCACCATCGCCAGAGGTGCCTAATCCCCTCCCCCCATGTATCAGGGTGGCTCCTTGGGCAGGGTGACAGGCTGTTTTTAAAATTCCTGCATACTGCCCCTCCCCAGCACTTTTGAGTTAATTTGTATAAACTAAACATGTATGATGATTCCACACATTTATTTTTAAATATTAATGTATTTTTATAAATAGACAATACATTCATCAGGGTCATAATGACAAGTCTTTTCCCCAGTTCTGCCCAGAGACAAGTTTAAGCAGCTTTATATAAACCCAGTACCCATTGGCCAGTGGATCCTAAACAACCTGTAGGACCCAGTAGAATTGCCCCATAGGCTTTTCAAGGCTATCATCTACAGAGTCGCATCTTTCTCCAAAGGAGCAGCTGGTGGGTTTAAGCTAGTGACCTTTTGATTAGCAGCTGAATGCTTAACCACTGCACCACCAGGGCTCTTTTACTTTGGTGGCTTTACGAGATGTATGTCACTTATCCTACAAGTCCCCCATTGGAGGTATGCTCTTGTGCGTCTGTCATCAGTTCATTAGAGAAGATTGTCACAGCCCCTGGAAACAAAGCCCTGTTCTCCTTGGCTGTCACTGCCCCACTCCCCCAGCCCTTATTAACCACTTACATGCTTTCTCTTTGGATTTACCGATTCCGGACATGTTGTATAAATGGGGTCATGCCATATGTCTTATGATTGGCTTCTTTCACTGAACGTAATATCTTAGCGATCCATGTAGGCTGTCACAGGCATTGTACTTCATGCCTTTTAATGGCTGAATAATACTTCACTGTATGGATAGACTACATTCTATATATCTATTCATTAGTTGATGGAATTTTGTTGTTTTCCGCTATTGAAAATAATGCTGTGGATATGAGGGCACAGTTTTTTATGTGGATGTGTGTTTTCAGTTCTGGGTAGAGATTCCCAGCAGTGGAATTGCTAGGTCATATGGCAGTTCTGTTTTTAACTTTCTAAGAAATTGCCAGGCTGTATTCCACAGTGGCTGCACTATTGTACATTCCCACCAGCAGGGTACGAGGGTTCTAATTTATCCACATTGTCTCCAGCACTTAGTATTATCTTACCTTTTATTCTAGCCATCCTAGGGAACATGAAGTATATCTCATTGTGGATTAGATTTACATTGCCCTCATTACTGGAGATGTTGACCATGTTTTGGGGTCATTCCAGGATTTCTTGAGTAGTCACTAGAGGATCCCTGGTGGCACAGTGGTTGGGGCTCTGGCTGCTAACCCAAAAAGTCAGCACTTAGAACCCGCCAGCCAGCCACTCCATGAGAGAAAGATGTGGCAGTGTGCTTCCATAAAGATATACTTGGAAACCCTTTGGGGCACTTCTGTTCTATCCTATGGGGTTGCTATGATTTGGACTCAACTCGACAGCAACAGGTTTGGAGCAGTCATTCAGCTAATGATGACTGAGGGTCGTGACTGGATGCAATGGTGACCAATCAGATGTCCCTGCCCTCCTGGTGTTTTTAGGCCACTGCCTTTCAGGGACCCTGTCCGCATGTTGTGCTAGCAGTACTTAACACTTACATGGTACTCACTCTGTACGGCCACCCTTCTGAGGTCAGTTGCTGAACAGTCAAGCAGATATTGCCCTCTTGCCTGCAAAGCACATCCTGTGGGTGCCTGATCTGGGCTGGCTGAGCTTATTAATGACCTGTGACTAATTCCTGTTGAGTCGATTCCGACTCCTGGCAAACCCATGTGTGTCAGAGTTCTTAGGGTTTTCAGTGCCTGGTTATTTCAAAATAGGTCACCAGGACTTTCTTCTGAGGCACCTCTGGATGGACTCCAACTGCCAGCCTTTTGGTTAGAACCAAACACGTTAACTCTGCATCACCCAGAGACTCCAAGCTTATTAATAGTATGTCATAAAGGGCAGCTCATTCCAGGATGTAAGGGCTGGCTGGTTCCATGCACTTTTTAGGCCCCATTGAGTTCCCCCATGTGGATCCTGCTGTGCACCTGGTCTCCCTCCAGTAGGTGAGGACTTTGTGAGCTGGGCTGCGTCTTTAATCGTTGTTCCACGGGCTGAACTCAGAGCTAGCGTCCGTCTACTAACCTGTCTCTCCCTTCTGCCCCCCGTGCAGCAGCCGCCATGGCCCAGACCCTGCAGATGGAGATCCCCAACTTCGGCAACAGCATCCTGGAGTGCCTCAACGAGCAGCGGCTGCAGGGCCTATACTGTGACGTATCGGTTGTGGTCAAGGGCCACGCCTTCAAGGCCCACCGGGCCGTGCTGGCTGCCAGCAGCTCCTACTTTCGGGACCTGTTCAACAGCAGCCGAAGTGCCGTGGTGGAGCTGCCAGCAGCCGTGCAGCCCCAGTCCTTCCAGCAGATCCTCAGCTTCTGCTACACGGGCCGACTCAGTATGAACGTGGGTGACCAGTTCCTGCTCATGTACACGGCTGGCTTCCTGCAAATCCAGGAGATCATGGAGAAGGGCACTGAGTTCTTCCTCAAGGTGAGCTCCCCCAGCTGCGACTCACAGGGCCTGCATGCTGAGGAGGCCCCGTCGTCTGAGCCCCAGAGCCCCGTGGTACAGACGTCAAGCTGGCCGGCCTGCAGCACCCCACTGCCCCTCGTGTCACGGGTGAAGACAGAGCAGCAGGAGTCGGACTCTGTGCAGTGCACACCAGTGGCCAAGCGGCTGTGGGACAGCAGCCAGAAGGAGGCAGGGGGCGGCAGCAACAATGGCAGCCGTAAAATGGCCAAGTTCTCCACACCAGACCTGGCCGCCAACCGGCCGCCCCAGGCCCCAGTGGTGGCAACAGGGACCGGGCAGTTGGCCAGTGGAGCGGCGGCGGCCGGGGGCGTGGTGAGTGGGCCCAGCATGTCGGAGAGGACCAGCCCTGGCACTTCAAGCGCCTACACCAGCGACAGCCCTGGCTCCTATCACAACGAGGAGGATGAGGAAGAGGACGCTGGCGAGGAGGGCACGGATGAACAGTACCGCCAGATCTGCAACATGTACACCATGTACAGCATGATGAATGTCGGCCAGACAGGTGAGGCGCCATCCGGCCCAACCCAGCCTTGTGCCCTGCACCCCTGCCCCCAACACCCACACCACCTGTCTCTCTCCCTAGCCGAGAAGGTGGAGGCCCTCCCTGAGCAGGTGGCTCCTGAGTCCCGGAATCGCATCCGGGTGCGGCAAGAACTGGCATCCCTCCCCGCTGAGCTCATCAACCAGATCGGCAACCGCTGCCACCCCAAGCTATACGATGAGGGCGACCCCTCTGAGAAGCTGGAGCTGGTGACAGGTGGGCAGGGCACACTGTGTCACCCCTACCCCAGGGCCTCAGCCCCCTCTGGGGATGGCAGTCAGGGGCCAGGCTACCTGGCCTCAAATCTCTGCCATGCATTGGCTGTGACCGGAGCAGCTGACACTTCTTGGCACCTTGGTCTCATCTGTAATGGGGGAGGGTACAGCCCTTGCAGGATATTGATAAGAGGAAATGAGGTTGATACACGTGAAAAGCTGGGGGCCCTGGCGGCCTATCAGGAGCTGAGGTAAGTGTGGGCTACTCTTGTGTTGCCATGTGGGGATAAGTTAGCTCATCTGTAGGCTGCCTTTGAGGAGTCAGTGCCACCATGGCTAAGAATTGGCCTCCATAGTCAGCCAGCCGAGTTGCTGCTCCCCACTGAACCCCTCTGAGGCTCAGCTGCCTCCTCTTCCTGTGGTTGATCAGGGCACAGGAGGTCATGTGTATAAAGCACGTGTCAGGCCGGCATCTGGCTAGTCCCAGCACATGGTAGGTGCCATGTTGATGGTGACACCACCGTGTCCTCTCTGGAGTGCCATCAGGAATCAAAATGAGCCTTCCCTGCCCAGTCTGTGGAAAGAAGAAGGTCCCAGAGCCCAGGAAGAGCCATCTCCAGAGTTCAGAGAAGTGGATGGTAGGAGAGGCTATACAGGGAGGGTGAGATCTGGGACCCTGGGCCATCCATAAGTTTCCCCTCTCCAGGCACCAACGTGTACATCACAAGGGCGCAGCTCATGAACTGCCACGTCAGCGCGGGCACGCGACACAAGGTCCTACTGCGGAGGCTGCTGGCCTCCTTCTTTGACCGGTGAGGCCCTTCAGAACCCAGGGTGAGGGCGTGGGGTTGCCCACAGCCCCTCGGGAGGATCCTCACACCGCAGGGAGCATTGACTCTCCCCTTACCCTTGCCTTCCTGCCCCCAGGAACACGCTGGCCAACAGCTGTGGCACCGGGATCCGTTCTTCCACCAACGACCCCAGACGCAAGCCCCTGGACAGCCGAGTCCTCCATGCCGTCAAGTGTGAGTACACCTCTTGGGAGGGAGCCCAAGGGTAGATGCCTTTCTCCCTGGTTTGGCCCTGACTAATGGGTGGGGACTCTCTGGAATTGGATGTTGAGAAAGTTGAGGCTAAATCTAGGCTTGCTAGGAAGATGGCTGTGACTTGTTAAAGATTTTTGCAGAGGGATCCAGGGGAAGCCAGGAAGAGTTTCAGATTGAGGGCAGTCAGAGTCAGGAATTGGTCTGGCAGCCAAAGTGGTAGCTACCAGCCGCATCATGCAAGGCAGCTGTTGGCATGAAACGATACTGAGCCATCCCGTCCAAACCCCACATCCCACGTGTGCACTCAGGAGTGGGTCAGGCTTGATGTGACTCTAAAAGGAAGGAGGCCAGGGCCACCACTGAGCCCCCCAACCCCCTCTGCCCACACAGACTACTGCCAGAACTTTGCCCCCAACTTCAAGGAGAGCGAGATGAATGCCATTGCTGCCGACATGTGCACCAATGCCCGCCGCGTGGTGCGCAAGAGCTGGATGCCCAAGCGCAAGCTGCTCATGCCCGAGGGCGATGCCTACACAACCTTCATTGGTGACATGGGCAAGATTGAGCCGGACATGATGGGCGTGGAGCATGGCTTCGAGACGGCCAGCCACGACGGTGACGCCGGCCCCTCGGCCGAGGCCCTCCAGTAATCCCAAGGACCCTCCCCATGGAGCCGTCACACTCCCTTCCCACTATACCCACCCGCCCACCCGCCATCCTAGTCACGAGCTACTGTCTGCCCCTCCCCAGTACCTGCAGGGGTGCTGCATGCTCCCAGCCCCTCTGCCTCCTTGTCCCGCCCTCTGGTCCCCAAATCCAGCGTCTCCCACCCAAGCGGGGCTGGGAGGGGATGGCAGGTGGTGTGCGGTTTGCGTTGCCTTTTTTAACACACGTGCACGGTTGGGGAGCACTCGCTCCTCCTCTCCTAACCCCTAGAAATTGCCCCCCCAACTCACCAGGCCAGTCATGGGGAGGGGCCGGCCTGAGGGGCTTGGGAAGGCCCCTTCCCAGACCCCGGGCCCTGTGGCAGAAGCTTTCTCGGCCTCTGCCCCTCACTGTGGCCCTTTTAGACTCAAAGGGCCCCGGGTTCTCAGGACCCCTCTCGCCGCCGCCTCCCAGTGCTTCCACATTTCCAAAAGCGCCTTCCTGTTTCCCTCGTCTGTCCCTGTGTCCGGAGGCTGGGCCAGCGAGGCCACAGGGAATATCCACTTTACAGCTGAGGAACAGGTTCAGAGAAAGCCCGGGGCTGGCCTGAGGTGGCAGGTGGGGGAGGGCCCAGCACCCTTCTCCCATGAGACGCTCAGCCTCTCTGTTGCCCTCATCTGTTCCCTGGGTCCTGAGAGAGGCAGGTCCTGAGTAAGGGGACTCTTAGGGGCAGACGGGGTCTTAGAGGACAGGACGACAGGTTTCCAGGGCTCATAGAGTGTGCGTGTGTGTGTGTGCACGTGTGTATGCGTGTAGAAGTTTTGCTTTTAAAAAATATGAAGCTATAAGAGGCAATAGGACCAGGGTTGAACTAAGGGGAGCAGGGCTGGGGGCCACTGCCCCTCCCTCCATACCCCCCACCCCGCCCCACAGCCGGGCTCCCAGCCCCCACCCCCTGTACATACTTTTTAAAACATTTTCTTAGCTAATGAAATATTGAAGTATAAGATTCCTTTTATTTTTCAAACCAACGGGACTGTGTCTGATGTTACCCCTTTGGTCCCTGGGGGCTGTGGCAGGCAGGATGGGGGCTGGAGGCAGACAGGTGGATGTGTGTGGATGTGTGGGTGTGGGTCTGAGTTCCGTCGTGGCCCCAGCCCAGTGCCACCTGAACTCCTGTGGGTCTGCCTGGCTCCGCCCTTCCCCTATGCTTCCTGTGGTGCCACCCCCCCCCCAGGGTTATAGTTTAAGGGTGTCCCTGGCCTTGGCTGGTTGGCTGAGCCCCGCCCCTAGGGACCAGGGCAGGGTCCACTTCCGTAGTTGGCAGTTATTCGAAGAATCTCTTACCATTCCTTCCTTCATTTCTCGCCAAGAGCGAGGGTGTTTTGAGTTTTACATGTGAACATGGAGGGCTCTTTTTTTACTCCCCATTCCCCGCATTCAGGACATTTCACAATTCCACTTTTTTTTTTTTTTCCCCTAGCCCTTGTTCTTACTACCTGTCCTCTCTCTCCCCAGTTCTTACCTGCCCATTGCACCAAGTGGCCCTTCATCCAGGGCAAGGGATGGCAGGAAGTGGGGTGGAGCCAGCCCCACAGGACCCTTTGGGTCTGATAGGGAGGCAGGCCTTCCCCCCACCACCGCCCAGCAGCCTCCCCCCCCCCCCCACGAGCCTGCAGCATGTCACTTCTAACATCTGCTTGTTGCGTGAGAGGGGGTGTCGGTTGTGGGGTCGGGGCCAGCTGGGGTTCTGTCGTCGTGTTTTCCTGACCCAGTCCCCAGCACCTTAGCCCCCAGCCAGCCCCTGCGTGTGTGTGGAGGGGAATCGACACCCCCAGCTAAAGCACAAGCACCTTAATCACACCCCACGCCCACAGGTCCCGACCCTGACCCCCGACCCAGCATCGATCCCAAAGCACAATATCCTGGTCACTTGGCAGCGGCAGTGCCCAGCTGGCCGAGGCCCAGGGGGCGTGGGTGGGCTGGGGCTCCACCCAGACCCCAGAAGGAAGCAGGAGTTCTCAGGCACTCCCCTCCTTCCAGGCCTTAGCAGGGGGCCAGCTCTCTGGGACTGGGGTATTCTCCCTCCCCACCCCCTTGTCCTGGGCAGACCCTTGCCCAGCCCCTCCTGCCTTTTCCTCGGGTGGGGCTTGCTCCTATAAAACTCCGAGACCCTGCAGCGTGGGGCTGGGTGGCAATCCCCTGGCTCCCCGGGACTGTGTGGGTTTGGGGAGAGGGGCCGGGCAGGGGTGCAGGGGAGGAAACTCCTCACCAGGAGAGCCAAAGACAGGGTTGTGCCTTACCCCAGGAGCCACCCCTGCGCCCATCCCTGTCCCTGTCCCTGCCCTCTCCTCCCCTCCAGGCAGCCTGCTGCTTTCCTTCCCTTCCCCTGCCCTGCTCTCAGCTGCATGATCCCCACCCCGGGACTCGGGAAGAATATGAATGGAGAATCATTGACCTATGAGAAGACTGGGGCCCCTTCCACTCCCGGCCACTCATGCCTCTTTCACGCTGGACAGACCGCCTGTCCTGTCCACGTGAAGTGCCAATGCCCTCCCCCCTGGGCCGAGCCCCACCTCCCTCCCTGGCCCCTAAGTGAGATTGCACATTAACTACTGTAAGGAAAGGGGTGGCACTGGGAAATGTGAACCATGAGAATATCAGTGATACTGATGAGGAGAATAAACTAAACGCCTTTGTAACAGCCCTGCCGATGCTGCTTACTGGGGACCTGGCACTGGGCTGGGAACGGACACAATGGCACATTGGGGGCCTCCCTCGTACAGCTGCCCCTACATCGTGCAGCTTCACACTGAGCAGTGGGGGTACCCCAGGAATTGTCATTTCAGGCATGCATATTTTATATGTATATAAGTCTAACTCGGCCATTGAGTCAATTTTTTTAATTACTGTGATTTGGGTGAAAGTCTACAGAGCAAATTCATGTTCCATACAGCAGTTCATATATACACGTTTTGTTTCATGACATTGACTGCAGTCCTTATGTAACTGCTCTTCCCACTTCTCCCTGTAGTTAACTCTTCCTTGTGTCCTTTCCTATGTGTTCCTGCCCCCTGAACTATCTCCTTATGCAAATACTGCCCTTCTGTTCTCCCATAATTGATCTTTCTACAGAAAGATCTACCTGGTAAAATGTTCATCCTATATGCCTGTCTGTTGTTTGGCTGAAAGCCATGGGAGTGAGTTCAATTCCAGGCCTGAAGGGTGACTAGGGGCCATAGTCTCCAGGGTTTCACCAGGCTCTATCAGATCTGTAAGCCTGGGGTTTTTGTTTGTTTTTAATGCTTTTTGAATTTTGTTCCACACTCAGGCACCTGTCTTTAAACCTGAGTTGGGGAGAGTCAGTGGGCCCTTTTGGATGGTGAAACCATAGTTCAGGACCTGCTGCAGCCCCGGAATGGCAAAGCCTGCAGTTTTTGGTAAAACTCATCCAAGGCAGCCCAGTGTATACAGATGCCCAGCATTCCTACAGGAGACATCCTACACCTGTCCCAGCTCCTCAAGGGTGAGCCCTGCCAAGCTCCATCAAGTTTGTGGACCATGCTCCCATCGAGGCCCTGAGTCCAGAAATGTGTCCTGGACACCCCCCATGCCCCTTTACGTGATTTCCTCCAGGTCAGTCCCTTTTTGTGACCCTAGCTCCTGTGTCAGAAGGAAGCAACACCAAAGCTGAAACCACAAGTCAAAATTCAAATGGCGTCAAAATATTAAGAACTGTAGAGTCTGTGAGGATATGAAAGGTTCTATCAAGTGAGACTCGGAAGGAAGGTTGGGCAATCCTACTTCCGTAGTGATACTGCCTCGAAAACCCAAGGAGGGGTCGCTATGAGTCAGGGCTGACTCGACGGCACATGACAACAACAACGTCAAGTGAGACAGAAAGTCACTGAGATGACGTAGCTCAGGGTCCCAGCCATTCAAAGATCTTTTGAATAGAATGGAAATAGTATTTAGCTTTTAACCATCAAGTCAAAAGATCTCTGCTGTGAGATGGAGAGAGAACGTTCATTTCAGCCCAACCAGGTCACCTGTGGGGATTGTGGGAGCTATAGACGTCCATGGAGAAGGTAATTGGGGGAATACTCAAAAGAATTAGCGTCTGAGCTCTCTAGAGCTGCTATAACAGAAACACCACAAGTGAATGGCTTCAACCAGCAAATGTAGCTTCCCACAGTTAAGGAGGCTAGAAGTCCGAATGCAGGCTGCCTGCCGACTGACTAGGGGAAGGCGCTCCATCAGCTCTGAGGAAGATCCTTGTCACTTCAGCTTCTGCTCCTTGGTTCTTCGGTGATTTTCATGTGGCCTGGCATCTCTCATACCTATCTCTGCTCTTCTGTCTCTCAAAAGAGATTGATTTAAGACACACCCTACATCAATAACTGCCCCATTACCAACAAAGAAACCCATCCCTAAATGGGATTATAACCACAGATACAGGAGCTCTGGTGGTATAGTGCCCAAGGCATTTGACTGCTAACCAGGAAGTTGGCGGTTCAAACCCACCAGCCACTGCTCGGAAGGAAGACTGGGCAATCTACTTCTGAAGGGATATTGCCTCAAAAACCCAAGGAGGGTTCTCTATGAGTTGGATATGACACAACAGCAGTGTGTTTGGTTTGGAGCTCTGGTGGCATAGTGCCTAAGGCACTTGACTGCTAACCAGAAGGCTGGCAATTCAAACCCACCAGCCACTCCTCGGAAGGAAGGTGGGGCGATCTACATCTATAGCAATACCACCTCGGAAACCCAAGGAGGAGTACCTATGAGTCGGGTTTGACTCAACAGCACATCACAACAACAACATGGGAATGAAGATTTACAACAAATACTTTTTTCTTTTTTGTGGGGAGGGGCTCACAATTTAATCCCTAACAAGCTGGTATATTTCAGTAAGAGCAGCCACCCCCTTTGGGATCCTGAAGCCTAGCCTTGGCCACCACAACAGGGCTCTGGAGTGCCAACAGCACAGTAGGTGACTGTGGTCCCAAGAAACTCAAGTGACAGGAATGCTTTTTCTTAGCATAGAGGTGAGAGCAGACACAGCATGTGTCTTCAGAAGGGGAAACACATGTTTCAACCCCAGGAAGACTTAGAATGAAGTATAGAGATGATTGTGAGAACAAAACCACAGTGTTAAATGTTTCTGTGTAAAAAACTTTGTAAAACCAGACAATTTAGCCTAAAAAAAGTAACAGCTTTGTAACACCCAGCACTTTACAAAGCATGCACCAGCATCTGAGACTTGTCTTTTGATACATTACTATATAACACACAGGACAGGAATCATCCAAGATAACTTAATGGCAAAGCACAATTTTTACTTAAAAGTCTCTACTGCAGACAAAGCTGCTAGAGTGAGGTGTGGGAAAGGGACTTGAAGTCACTGGGTCTGCAGTGGGACCCAGCACTACTTAAAGGCCCCTTAGAAATGACTGCTAAACTAAACACTTCTGAGGGATTTACCTGCCTGAGGAACCAAATGAACAGAAAGTGTGTAGGCTGACCTTGAGAAGCTCAAGGCAACAACTGGAGTTTGGAATTTTCAGTGGTACTAAACCAATTACTAAAACCAAGCAATCAACCAGAATAGTCTTTTCTGTACCAAACACTGACCACTGAAATCCCTAACGCACATGCGTGTGCAGATGCACACGCTCTAACTCATACTTTGGCCAGCACATACAAGCAGTGTCCTCTAGAAAGGCTATCCTCTTTAGAAGTCAGTCTTAAATTTAGAGTCAACACACCGTATGACACAAATATATATAAAAAGGCTAGGGATTTTATTTCCAGGTTGGCACATGTACAAGGCACATGGGCAAATGACTTTGGGACACTGGAGTAGCATTGGGGGGAGTGTAACTGAAGTCTCCCTACCTCCACCCCTATTGAAGCACACTTGGTCTAGGACAGGTGGTAGGGGCCCCCACCCAGGGCCCCGAGAGTCCCACTGACTGGATGAGAACCTTGGGGGCAGCTCCCCAGGTGCAGCCCCCTCCCCAGGGAACAGGGTCCTGCCCAGCTCGAAAGTGCTTGGCGGTTCCCTGACCCCAGCTCAAGGGACCAGCCCCCTGGGGAGGGCCAGGGTCAGAGAGAGAACAGTAGGATAAGCACCAGAAGCAGCACCCCCAGCAGGACCACGATAGCACACCACTGCCGGCGGTCTGCGGGTGAGACGATCAGAGGTCACATGAGGACGGGCTACCACCCAGAGTCTCCCAAACACCCCCCCAAGGGACTCACCATTTGTCATGTGGGATACTTTGGCCATCTTCCTGAGGACCCCATCCATCCGGGACTGGGTGTGGTCCATCTCATGAGCAAAGGCGTCCAGCATGCTGCCGAGACCAAGCTGGCATCAACCCCAGAGGGCTTGTGTGTGCCAGCACGGATGTGGGCTCCCAGCCCGCCCACTCCCAAGGCCCTAGGCTCACATGCCCTGTTCGTCCAGCTCCTCCCCAACCCGGCCAGACATGTGCTTTAGGACCTGGATGCTTCCAGACACCATCTCAAGCTGTTGATCCTGTTGGTCCATGATCAGCTGCAGGGCAGAGGGGTGGGAGCTGCTGTGTGCAGGGATCCCTGTGAGGTCTGTAGGCTCCCCCTGCCTGGGGTCCCTGGCCACCCTGACAAACCTGCTGCGTGGCCTGCTGCTCCTCAATGTAGCGAGAAGAGGCTGAGACCACGCTGGCGTCCAAAAGGTCACTGGATGACTTCGGGGCAGCTGCCCTGCCTGCCAGCATCTGTGGGGCCCAGACCATAGGCTCAGAGAAGTCCGCCCATGCACAGAGGGACAGATACAGGGGCCAGATGGAGGATGTGGCCCATCCACACAGTTCTGGGTCAGGATGGCCTGGGCTCCAATCCCAGTCCCATCACTTACTAGCAAAGTGACTCTGGCCATGTCATTTGACCTCCCTGTGTCTCATTTTCCTCATCTGTAAAATGGGGAAAGCTATAATCTCTGCTTCCTGGGGCTGGAATAAGGATTTAATGAATCAATCCATGAAAAGCTGTTAGAACTGTGCCCCTACCACAGTAAGTACTCAACAAGTATTGCCTTTTATTAATATTTCCTACTAACATTAATCCATGGAAGCAGGTGGAGTTAGATGGCAGCAGACAGCCCTAGTATAAATCCAGTTCCCACCATTCAGCAGGTGCATGAACTCAGTCAAGTAACTCCTCCTCTCTGTCCCCCAGTCCCTGCCTCCTAGGGCTTGGTGCAGGCGAGGCATCTGCAAAGTACTTAGCATGAGAGATGGCTAGAGTGTTCAGTAAAGGAAACAATTACTATTATATTTGTGTATGTATTTAAGTGGAGATTTGAAACCCCAACACAACTTATCTGGAAGGCCCAGAGGTACTGCTACAGTGGGCTTTAGACTCCTACCCTCCCATCCCTAGATGGGCTTGTAAAAGGATGCGGACAGGCTGGTGGTTTACAATGTGCAAAAAATAGACACACAACACAAAGGGAAAAGGAGTCGAAATAAAAACAAGAGAGAGAACACAAGGCATGAGCAGCACGTAGAAGGGGCAGGCACCCGCCCAGAGAGACCTGGCATGTGTGTGGAGGGCAGGCAGGTGCACACTCAGAGACCAAGTGCATGCACTCAAATGGGTCAGGTGCACACACAGAAAAGGTGAGCACATTCCCTAGAAACAGTTACGCACAGTGTATGCAAGGAGAAAGGACAAGAATATACACAGGAGATTGTTGTACAGACCGACACCTCCCCCATCACACACAGGAAGTCAGTATACAACCAGGAGAGAAGGCAACAGTGTACACGGAGAGAACAAACACACAGAGAGGCTTCAGATGCACACACGTAGAAAGTGGATGTAGGAACATAGGAGACAACTGCGTACAGAGTATGGGCACTGGTGCAGAGGGGACAGGTGGACACATACACAGGAGAAAGGTCACCCAAAGAGACTCAGACGGATAATGGGTCAGGATGCCTTGCAAAAAAAAAAAAGCACCCACTGCCACTGAGTCAATTCTGATTCACAGTGACCCTTGAGGACAGAGTAAAACTGCCCCATAGGGTTTCCAAGACTAAATCTTTACAGAAGCAGACCAGCTTCAAACCACCAACCTTTTGGTTAACAGCTAAATGCTTTAACCATTATGCCACCAGAGCTCCTTCAGGATGCCTTACCTCTCTATTATTCCTCTCCATGAAGGCTATGGTGGCTGGGCTGACCAAACGGTCCCTCATTTCCTGGGGGAGGGCAAAGAGGTCAGAGAGTAAAGATCCCCCAACCTCCCCACACTCATCACGCACGAGACGGCTCCTCACCTGGACTGCCTCTCGCATCCGCTCCACAAACACCTTTCTCTCCTGGAGGTCCCCGGCTGGGAGCTTGAACTTAGTCGGGTTGGCCTCCACGATAGGTGAGCAGCTAGTCAAGGGTCGCGGCCAGAGCCAGACACCCCAGCCCTCAATACCTCCCAGGGTCCAGCCTCCCGGAAGGCCATGCCACCTCCCCACCCGCCCAGGATATCGATGGTCTCCTCCAGGTCCTCGAGGTCCCATTCGATGCTGCGCAGGCCATTCCGCAGCTCATTGGTCGTCCAGTCTAGCTCCTCGCGTCCGACCGCTGAGCCCTCTTGCAGGAGCTCACACCAGCGCTGGTACAACCCACGGGCGGTGTTCACCGCCTTCTGTACCTCGCTGCGGGCAAAGGCAGAGCGCGTGCTGCTGGAGGCAGGTGTCCCTCCCGCCCGTCCCTGCAGCGCCCCTCAAGCAAGGGGTGGGCTCTGGGTACCCTCAGATCCCCCAGCGGATCCCTCCCACTCGGCCGCGGGGCAACTCCGACCCCGCACCCCGACGGCCGCGCCCGTACCGCCTGGCACGCTGTGACCAGCGCTCTAGGCACTGGCTGGCAGGGAGACTGAGCACCCTCTGGCCTCCCCCATCCCTGTCACTCACCCCCGGACTACAAAAAACGGGTCTTCGAAAGACATGTCACCTACCCACCCTCAGGCCGAGCCCCCCCCCCCCTTGGCCTTGCTCTTTCCCTCCCACCCAGTGGAGGAGAACGCACCGCCCACCCCGCCTCCGTCACGTGACCCAAGCCACCATCGAGAACAGGGTTTCCAGAGGAGAAAGAAAGGCCTTGGAAGGCCGAGGACGGAAACTTCCGCCCTCTCCGCGACCACTCTGTCTGCCATTTTAGTTGTGGGCAGATACGGCTTCCTGTCCAGACGCCCGCCTCCTCGCGTCACCACCGTGAGCCGGTGCTTTCCTAGTTCTGGCTGAAGGGGTTCGAGTCCGAGCCCCTCAGGTTGTTGTTGCGCCCCCTCAGTTCCCCTTCTGGACAATGTAAATCATCATAGCCCTCCTTAACTCAGGGGTTAATTGCATTCGTAGATCCTCTTAACGGACTCCCTGCGCCTGCACCCCGCTGGTTCCCCATCCCCTCCTGCGAGGTCGTCCGAGCCCAGAGCTGGGTGGCATGATCGGGAAGGCATGGGATGAGAGATGACCCTCTCTCTCCCCTGCGGGGAGGGCAGTAGCATTTTGCGGGTGCTTCCACTGCAGTTTTTCCTGTGGGGGAGAGGCGGGGTGGCGGTGAGTGGAGGTCTGCGGAGATGTTCGGGGAGGAGCTCCCCTTCAGGAGCGTGTGGGGAAGGGGGGTGCTTCAGAGAGATACTTCTCTGTGTGCTCGGAGTGTTTGAGTGCGGGGTTGGGGGTCGCGGGGAGTGGTGGCTGAGGGGTGTCTCCAGAGGAGTCCGCTGCTGTGGGGTCTGCCTCTGGGGAGGGGCCAGGAATGTCCACGGAGGAGCTCAGAGGGCCCCTTCCTGTGGGACAGGCCTCTTTCGGAGGCGTGCTCAAGCCTTCGACTGAGCTCAAGGGGTTGTGGAATCTCTGTCTGAGGGTGAACAGGTCCTCGTAGGGTGGCCCCAATGTCAGAGTCGCTGTGTGGGGTCTCAGAGATAGCGCTGAGCTGGGGCTGTCATTGTGGGGCCTCTTGTAGGGGGCGCGGGTAGAAGCGTCCTTGGCAGGTCGCCACAGTGTTGTTGTTGTTAGGTGCCCTCGAGTTGTCCCCAACTCGCAGAGACCCCATGCACAGCAGAACAAAACACCGCCCGGCCCTGAGCCAGCTCCATGATCCTTGCTATACTTGAGCCCATCGCCGCTGCCAATCCATCTCGTTGAGGGCCTTTCCCTCCTTCGTCGACCGTCCACCTTACCAAGCATGACATCCTTCTCCAGGGAATGGTCTCTTCTGACACCATGACCAAAGTATGTAAAATGAGGTCTGGCCATTCTCGCCGCAGTGTTAGGATCCCTGAATGGAGTCAGTGTTTGGAGAAGCCCTTTCGGGAGAATAATTGTTGAAGTCCCCACGTGGGTGGGTCGGGAGCTCGAGGGTAGGCGAGTGCATGAGAGGGTCGCTTTTTGGGATGCAGGGATAACCTGGGAGGGGGCCATGTAAGGTAAAATAACTGTGAAGTCTCCTCAGGGGGCAAGGTTGAAGAGGTTTCTGGGAGATGGCGTCAGTGGGAGCCTTAAGGTCGCCCTTCCTCGTGGAAGGGGCGCTTTCTCGAAAAGGCGCCATGCCTTCCTAGCCCCGGAGGGAAGGAAGCTAAACTGTCCTCCCTATTCCCGCAGGTTCCTCTGGACGCCTGGCCTGAAGTCGCGAGCTCGGGCCACCTTGGCTGCCCCTGGGAGGGGGAGAAGAGGAGGCGGGTTCGGAGGCCAAGGCTCCGTCCCGGCCCGCCCGGAAGATGCCCGCCACAGCCAGCTAAGGAGATCCCAGCCCTTTGTCCTTATATGGGCAGCCGGAAGCGCTCGCGCGCCCGCGTACGTCACTACTTCCAAATATAGTAGTGGAAGTCTGTAAGTTACTGTGGCGGGAAGGCTCTGCTGCCTAGACTGGAGGGGCGGGGCCTCCCTTTAAAGGGCCAGCACCGCGCTGAATGGAGCTACTCGGAGAATTTTGCATGCTTTTTGTAAGGAACTGGAATGAAGGTTTCTTTTCTTTTCTTTAGAAATAGGTGTTCTTGGAAGAATAGTGCATAGTGCTGGGTGGTAGGCGATGTTTTTTACCTGCTTTTATTCTATTGTTGTTGAATTTCCAAGCTCCCTACCCCGCCCCCTGGGGGCGGAGGCGGGGCATGATCGAGGTGTCGGGGGCGGATGCCACGTGCTCACAGGGACTCTCAGCGGCCAGGTCCGCCACCTTGCGAACGCCAAGCCCATCCGTGGAGCTCGTGTTGCCGGAGAACAGAGGACATTCCGTGAGGAAAGCAGCAACGGTAGGCAGCTTGGGCAGCGCCTCGGCGTCTGCGGACATCGCTGCCCGCCGGGTGGGTCCCTTCGTCCCGGAGCCGAGCCAGCGGAGACCAGAGACACAAAAGATGGAGACCCCAGTAACCCCGTATCACTGCACTGGTCCATTTATTCTTTCAGCAAATAGTCTCTGCCGTGGTTTCCTCACCTGAAGAAAGCAGGCACAACAGCACCCTGTTCTGGATGGAAGTGAGGGATCAATGAGACAATGGTAACAGGAACGCACTCAGCAGCACCGGGCATGTAGTAAGCACTTAGGAAACATTAGTATAGTTTTTGAAAAGGCAAACACCAACTAGGTGGCCTGGAAGATGCCAGGAACTGTGTGTACCGAGGATGCACCGGCTCCAGCCGGGATCTTCTCTCGGTGCAAAGGGGAACTCCGCCTAAGACCTGTTGGGGCTTAAGCCCAACTTGAGGCCACTACTCCCCTGGGCCTGCGCATGGCTGCATCAGTGGGACCCTAAGACAGGGGGCCACCCCGAGAACTCAGAGTGGAACGAGAGACTATTCTCGCCTCGGTCCTCTTCCCTTTTCCCAGCTCGGTAAATCCTATCCTGTCACTTTAAGTAGTTTCTCTCGCCACGGCGCGATGGAAAGCCCGGATGCGGTCCTCTGATTGGGCGGGGCGTCTACGTGACGTCATTGGGCATATAAAAGGGCCGGGGTGGCGGGCGCCCCAGCAGAGCGTCCTTGCAGTGTTACGGAGAGGCTTGCTATGCAGAGGAAGACTTGAGCGAGCGCGTTGTCCAGAGCCCAGTGCACTTCATATTTGATCTGTCCAGTCCTCTGCCTTTGCTCCTTGCCGTCGAGCCGCGATGGAGGTGCAGAAGGAGGCGCAACGCATCATGACACTGTCGGTGTGGAAGATGTACCACTCGCGTATGCAGCGCGGTGGCCTGCGGCTGCATCGGAGTCTGCAGCTGTCGCTGGTCATGCGCAGCGCCCGCGAGCTCTACCTCTCGGCCAAGGTGGAGGCCCACGAGCCCGAGGTGCCCTTGCCTGCCGGCCGCTCCCCTGACCCTCGCTTGCACTCACCTCGGGAAGCAGAAGCCACAGCCCAGGCAGCGCTCCCCGACGGTGAACCACCTTCCCCGGAGCCCATGGACACCCAGGAGGATCCGAGAACCGAGGAGACCCCTGCTCCCTGCAGCCCGCGCGCCGCCAGAACCAGTCGCAAACGGCGGAGCAGCAGTTTGAGCGACAGCTGGGACGCCGGACTGGTCCCAAGCAAGAAAGCCCGACTGGAAGAAGAGGAGGCGGAGGACACGCCGTCGGAGGTCGCCGATCGCCTGCAGCCCCCACCGGCGCAAGCGGAGGGCGCCTTCCCCAATCTGGCGTGCGTCCTGCAGAGGCGCTTTTCCGGCCTCCTGAACTGCAACCCTGCCGCACCCCCGACGGCGCCTCCTGCGTGCGACGCGAAGCCGGCCTGTCGCTCGGCGGACAATATGCTGAACGTGCTCGTGCGGGCCGTCGTGGCCTTCTGAGGGCCCCAAGCGGGGGGATCGGAGCCCAGAGCGCAGGCTGAGTCGTCTGCCCAAGTGCGCAGACCGAGGCGAGGCTCCCTCCGGGGAATGCCCGCGGAAACGGTCAAGAGGAGCCGCTGCCCAGGCTGCCGAGAGGCCCGGAGAGGGACTCTGCCCTCGGGGAGCCGTTGCCAGCTATACGCGGTGGCGGCGCGGAGGAGCCAGGGGCGCGGGCGCCTTCCTCTGATCTGCCGCGCCCACAGGTGCTGTTTTAACGACTGGGACTCGGACCTTTCCCTCTCCTGGGATTGGGAGGAATGGGGGTGTAGTTATTTTCTCAGGGTCGGACGTGAATTTTCTTCTTTTATAACCGGAGCTGTGCTGCCCATTCAAGATTTCTCAGTAGTGGGTCTCTACGTTTCAACCTCAGAATTCCAGGCACTTCCCTTCCCCCTCCCTGACATACTTGTGCACGCGGTCATCGTTGCGTCATGGGGCAGACACGGGGCGCTTCCTGTTGCCTTGCGTGGGTGTGAGGCCTAGGAGGAGGGTCTAGGGTGTGGGCCTGCCGGGGGAGAGGGAGGGCGGCCTGACTCACGTCGCCCCAGCGCGCTCTAAGGTTAGTGCCCGGCTCCTGTGCCTTCGGGTGGGGGCAGGGCCGATCTCATTACAGATGAAAATTGTGCTCATTTGGGGCGTTAAAGGTCGGGACTATGCACTCAGATACACGGACACAATCCACCCAGACGTTCCTGGTCCTAATCATGAAAGGGTGGGGGATGCAAAACAGTACGTGACCCGGGCCCACTTACTGGTGAGACTGGTCTCTGTTTTGGGAGTCGGAATTGCTGCCAGGGCCTTTTCGAAGGTCTGACCTTTCCTGTGGTGGATTCTGTTTAACTTCGTCTACCTGGCATTTTGTTAAAAACATCAGATTGGAAAATAAACATTTTAGTAAAAGTCTGCTTCCTATCCGGCTTTCTTCCTTGGTGGGGAAGAGGGTTAAGGGGTCAGGAGATGGCGGGCAGGCGGCGCTGGGGCCCCAGGAACCGGTCTGACCGGTTACCACGTGGTCAGAGGTGGGCGGGAGGGGGTTGGGCCACTTTTTTGCCCCAACTCTTGCCCGGCGGTCCACTTGCGCTCGTCGTTGGCCATACATTTGGGGTTCCCTCAAACTTGACGTACAGTTCCAGAATGGGGAGAAGTTTCTCGCGTTCAACGTTTGGGAACTGGTTTGGGGAACTACACCTTTCACTGGGGGTGCTTTGGGAAAAAAAAATCTCCCCTGCTTGCCCTGACCAACTGGTCGACACTCGTGGCGATCTTACAACCCGCTGGCATGAGCAGGCGCGCTTTACCGCGGGCCCCAGACCCAGCAGTCTGAACCCGTTTGTGACAGTGTAACTGTGTGGCTAAAACAGGTACGTGATGCTCCCAGCCTCAGTTTCCTCTTCGGTGGAAACAGAAAAGCTTCCTGGCGAGGATGGAATGTCCGTGGAGCCCTGATTTGTTATTTTAGCCCCGCTCCAGAGCGGGTTAGTTACCCCAAGAGAAAACCTTCTCAAGTTTCCCCAATCCTGTCTTACAAGAACGGCTGTAAGCGTAGCTCTAAGACGAGGCAGGGAGTCGTCCAGAGGACAAAGGGGCCGCAGGTGCTGTGAGTGGAGACGGCGCCGCCGGGGAAGGCCGCCCCGCCTCCCGACGGCGGAGCTGCCCGCCTTCCGCCACCCGGGGGACCTGACCCCCAGGCCGGAGGGCAGAGAGAGACGTGGGGTGGGGGCGGACCCGCCCTGGAACGCCGGCCGAGGCCTCCCGGGCCCCAAGCTTCCCTCCCGCCCAGTCCACCCACCTCTCTCCCTCCTCCTTGCCAGCCCTATTCTTTCCCGGCCCCCGACAGCGACGTCGCAGTCCGCAGCCCCGCGATGGACACGGTGGGGGGCGCGTCCCCCAAGTCCCGACACGATAGGTAAAATGGCCTAGCTCGTTTGCACTGTCTCCTGAATTCTTCCTGCTGCAGCGTGGGAGACTAGCGCCGCCCACGGCGTTTCCCAACGCACAACTCCCCAATCGGACGTGAGAGGCGGCGGCCCCACACCCTTCGGGTGGTTCAAGGCACCAGCTTCGGAGCAACTCCTCCGCAAACCCGCCCAGGCCCGGCTCGGCCTGGGGAAGTCCCGGCGGCGGCGGAGGAAGGGGCCTTGGCGCGCATCCTGTCTCAGGAACCGCCAGGCCCTTCCTTCCGCGGGAAGTGGCTCAGCCGACCCCCCACCCCCGCCCAGACCAACTGAGGGACTTCCGGTGCCTGGCCAGGGATGGGGGTGGAGAGGAGAGCGGTGGGGGTAGGGGGTTTGGAGACCCTCGGAAAGGGAGACAGGCGTAAGCACCACCGCGCGCGCGCACACACGCACGCGCGCGCACACACACACACACACACACACACGTGCGCGCGCGCACATATCCCCTTAAGATAAACCCCTACCCAAGACTCCATTTTCACCCACCAGAATAAGCAAAATTAAGAAAATCAGGACCACGCCCCACATACACGAAGCCTGGAGCTTTCACGTGATGAGTGGGCAGGCAGTCTGGGAAGTAATGAATTGGACAGTAGTTGTGAAACCTGAAAATGTCACCAAATCCAGAGCCAGCATTTCTCCAGGGCGCCTCACACAGATACCTGGGTTTTCCAGAAGGGTGTTCATTGCAGCGCTGTGTGAAATAGAGACAAATTGGAAACAACCTACATGTTCATCCAATTGGGCTGATCCAGTGGAATTCAGACTCTCCATGGCCATTCCCCAGAAGACAAAATTCCAGATAGGTGTCCTTAGGCTGAGACAGGGAGCTCAGAATCAAGAGGTTGGGGGACAAAGGCCAGCTGCATAAGTAGTGGGCTAAGGAGCAGGAATTCTCTGGCTGCTGGCTCCTCTCTCAACTGTTCTCTACTTGCTTGCCGTGTGGCCCTGTGCAAGGCACTGCACCTCTGTGCCTCAGTTTCCCTGCCTGTAAAGTGGGGGCAATAATAGTCCTTGTCTTAGGTTTGTTGTGAGGATTTAATGCACGTGAAGTGCCTCCCCATCCAGAAAGTGTGATGTGGTGATCATTTTAGTATTGCTACATCGCCAGGTGACAGCTGCTGGGCTGTGAGAAGCACATGCAGCAATAGGAGTGAATATGCATGCATGCAAAAGTGTGTGTGGACGCCGTGCTAAGCTAAGCCTGGCCACTCACTCAGTGGCCACCAGGGTCAGCCTCCTCACCCAGCCCCAGAGTTTGGTCTACTTACAGTGATTTCTTAGCAGAGTGGATTCTTCCATCCTCCAAGACCGCACCCTCCCCTGCTGGTTTCCTCCCACCTCCCCAGTGGCCCCTTCTCAGTTTCATTCTTAGTTGCCTCTTCTTGCCCTGACCTCTCTAACAATGCAGAGTGAGCCCCTCTGGGTGACTTTAGTCTGAGGGTTCCAAATGCCTGAATCTATTCTGATTCCCAGGAGTCCCTACTTGGTGCAAATGACTAATGCACTTGGCTACTCACTGAAAGGCTGGAGGTGCTAGTCTACCCAAGGGTGCCTTGGAAGAAAGGCGTGGCAATCTCCTGAAAAAACAGCCATTGAAAACCCAATGGAGCACAGTTCTACTCTGGCACACAAGAGCCAGAACTGATGTGAAGACATCTGGGAAAAAAACAAAACAGAACACTGACTCTCAATTTTAGTTCTCCACCTGGACCTCCGCCATCTGAGGTGTCCCGAGTGTTAACAGTGCCCGTGGAGGTTTCTTATTCTTCCCTGCCATCCCACCCCCTCCACCGCAATGAGTGGTAACCCCAGCATTCCATGGAAGGGTCCCCCTCAGCTCCCTTTTCACTCTTTCCTTCCCCTCCCATGCAAGCAGGGGGTACCATCTCTCTCTCTCTGTCTCTCTCTCTCTGTCTCTCCCCCCTCACTCCAGGTTTGTCCACTTTTCCCACCTTCATGGCTCCCAGCCTGGTCTGAGCTTCCAACACCTTTCACTTGGACGAGCTGCCTCCTTGCCCCTGTTCCCCCCACCACTACAGTCTAGTCTACAAAGCAGCCTCATAACTCTTACAAAAATGCAAATTGGATCCCCACTGATCTGTTTCTGTTCTGGAGAACAGGCCAAGTTCAGCACACCTCAGAGCCTTTGCACCTTCTCCATTTTTTGCCTGGAAAGCTCTTCTCCCAGCCCTCCACCAATTCTCACTTTCTTCAGGTTTCTGCTGAGATGTCACCTCCTCTGGGAGACCTTCTTTGGCTACTTGATCTAAAATAGAGCCCCTCTCTGTCACTCTGCTTCCTCACACTACTTCAGGTGTCTTCAGAACATGGGTCACCATCTGAAATGATATATTTATGTTCCGCATAGCAGCTGCTCTCCATTCAAATATCAGTTCCATGAAACTAGCCCAGTCCTGAATGAGTGAATGAGGTGGTCTTGAGGAAGCAGGTGTTAATGTTAAGTATTTAGTATTTATTTTATCTTTTAATCAATGGCTTCCCACAGCTCTTAGAATTTCCCAAACTTAACATGGTTGAGGGTCAGGATTTCTGCTATCTGTCTAACAACTGTGGAGTACCTTGGGGTACAAATGATTAATGCATTTGGCTGCTAACCAAAAAGTTCGAGGTTTGAGTCTAACCAGAGGTGCTTTGGAAGAATGGCCTGGCCACCTATTTCTGGAAAACCTGGCCATTGAAAACCTTATGGAGCACAGTCCGCTCTGACATGCATGGGGTCGCCAGGAGTTGGAATCAACTGTTATAACAACCGTACTATTATTTACTCAATATGATGCTTTAATTGAACTCATTCACCATATTTAGAAACTTACTCAAACCCAAACTCATTGCCGTCGAGTCGGATCCAACTTATAGCGACCCCTCCTTGGGTTTCCAAGGCGGTATCACTACGGAAGTAGATTGCCCAACCTTTCTTCTGAGGAGTGACTGGTGGGTTTGAACCGCCAACCTTCTGGTTAGCAATCAAATGCCTTAGGCACT